ATTCAAGTTTCCTATTTTCTTTTTGATCTTTTGCTTAGTTTTCTATTATTGTTGAATTGTCCTTTCTTTTATTCTGTCAGGTTTTGCTGCATATATTTTGGAGTTCTGTTTCTAGTTGCCTGTCTGTTTATAACTGTCTTATCTTAGCAGAGCATGGTGACACACACATGGCAGGGCTGAGTCCCTGGGAGCATGGCCTGGGCCTGCCTTCCTCCCTCCTCCCCTGATGTCTGTTTCCTGTGCCATACCATGACCTGTTTCTCCTCTGTGATGCCCCTCTGCCATGCCACCCTGCTTTGGAGTTGACTATGGACTGAAACCTCTACAAACTGTGAGCCAAAATAAACTTACTATTATGGGTACTGGGTATTGTGTCTCAGTGACAAGAAAGTAACTAAGACAACAAGCATTTAGAGAGGCTGAGACAAGAAGATCACAAGTTTGTCCTGTTTGGCAATCTTAGTGAGATCCTGTCTCAAAAAATTAAAAATAAAGGGCCAGGGATTTAGCTCAGTGGTTCTGTCGCCTGCCCGATCCCCAGTACCAAAAACAAAACAAAACAAAACAAAACAAAAAAACCAAAAAAAAATTGAACATAAAAAGAGCTAGAGATATGACTAAGAGGTAGAGTGCCTCTAGGTTCAATCCCCAGTGCCAAAAAAGAAAAAACCAAAACAAAACTGCTGTGTATTCCAGATGGAGTAACCGTTTTGTTATTTCAGTGTCCCTCCTTGGCCAAGCATGCTGGCATGTGCCTGTAATCCCAGCGCCCTGGGAGGCTGCGACAGGACTACAAATTCAAGCCCAACCTGGGGAATTTATCGAGATCCTGTCTCAAAATAAATAGGGGTAGAGATGTAGCTCAGTCCAAAGGCCCTGGATTTAGTTCCCAGCACTGCAAAAAGAAAAGTTCCTCTTGGTCTCTAGTAAGGTTTTTCACTGTAGACAGCCTCACCAACTTTCTTGTGGTTATGGTTCGTGTAACATCCTTTGTTCCTTCTTTTTATGTCAACCTATTTGTATTGTTAAACTGACGTGTGTTTGCTGTCAACAGCGCATTGCTGGACCGTGCTTGTTTTTCATCCAGCCTGAAAATCTCTGCCTTTTGCCTGGATTGTTTAATCCACTGACATTCAGATTTTAATTGATAGTTAGATTTATATCTGCTATTTCACTTTTTGTTTTCTATGTAGTTCATGTCTTTTTTGGTTTTTGTTTGTTGTTGTTTCCTTTGCACTCAATGAACTATTTTCAGAGTAACATTTCAATTCCATTAGTAATATTTTCACTTTAATTTTTCTAGTAGTTTCTCTAGAAAACACCTTTTAGATTGATACTAACCTAGCCCCACTAAGAAATAATGTTGCTCCTAAAAAGCTCTATTTCCTCTCCCTTTTTTTGAGTGTGAGTTCATACATAAAACAAACCCAATAGTATATTATAATTATTATATATAACTGTCTATTAAAGAAGCTAAGAACAAGTATATATTTACAGAATCTGCTGTAATAACTTACATATGTCCTAGCTACTCTTTTAACATTTGTATTATCTTTCAAATATTTACTAAATACAAAGGTCTTTACTATATTTAATTAATTACATACATTTTATTGAAAATGAGGTTTAGTATTAGTGGAATAAATGTACTTTTATATGTGTGAATTGTCTCTTCCTGTCTCTCACCATTTTGTCTATCGAGATTTTCATGTTATTCTGAAGAATTTGAGGAATTTCTTCACATCTGTTATAGTTTTGATCTAAAATGACCCCGAAAGTCCCATATGTTCAGAAACTGGGTTGCGGAAGGTGGCCTGATCTTGGGCCCAGTGCACTCATCGGTGGATCCATCCCTGGTGAGTTCCCGCCCAATGTGCTCCTGGGGGGTGGCCTGGGTGGAGGAGTCACAGGGGTGACCTGGCAGGGTGTGGCCCTGTCCTGTCTTTGCCCTCCCTCCTCTTCCTGCTTCCAGCTGCCACAGCTCAGCAGCTGTCTCCCACCACACCTTTCCACACGGCCAGCCATAGGCGAATCATCTAACACTGTGAGCCGATGTAAACCTGCCCTCCGCTCTGCTGTGGTGCCAAGTGATTTCTCCCAATGACGGGAAAACTGATACAATATCCCAGCTTTAATCACTGTCATACTTGATGGAAATGCTTTTCCCATCCTACTTATTTTTGTAGAAAATTAACTTTTTAATTTTTATTGCTTTAAACCTTAGAAACTTATTTTTCAAAGATCTGCAGAAGATTCTATTTTTTCAAGATGTGAAAATAAAGGGACTTACATACATGGTCTGTGAATTTTGGAAAGAGCGAAACCTTTTTTCTCCTCTTGGGTAATGTAGGGTGAGCTCCTGTGTCACTCACTCCGGGTCACATCAGGGACGCAGTCTGCTCAGGGACATTCGGATGCACCATGCGGAGCTCTGCGCCACGGCCTGGGCAACTGACAGATAGCGAATGCGCTGTGCTTGGTGCAGCTGTGTGCAGCACTGCTGCAGAGGGAGGCACAGCCTCCTGAGCAGCCCACGCTGTATCACGCATCCCCCTGGACACTGTGCTTGTCTCTGCTTCCACACTCGAGAGCTAGTGTGTCTCTTCATTACTTAGTCATATTTTGATGTTGCCATGATTAGAAAATTAGATATTCATAACAAATTGCTTACCAGTTTTTCCAACACCAATTATTAAAGAAAAAAATGAAGGCTGTAGGTGTAGATCAGCAGTAGACTGTTTACCTAGCATCTGCATGCAGGGCCCTGGGTTTAACCCGCAGCACCAGAAAGAAAAGAAAGAGAAGGGGAAAGGAGAGGGGAGGAAAGGGACAGGGAGGAGAGAAGACAGAGAAGTTGAGAGCCTAAGGCAGGCTTTTTACCCAGAATACCATGCCCCATGGTTCCTTGGGTGAATACATCGCCGGCCGACTTGGAGCCGTGAGATTCCTGGTGAAGCGACTTAACTATCCACGTGCACAAGAAGTCCTTAGGAGCTCATGCAGGCAAAGCGTCTTCTACTGTCATCTACCAAGAGCACAGTGGTGGCCTGATCATCCTGCAGGAAGTAGCCTGGGAGGGCTGGAGAAGGGCATCAGGACTCGAGCACAGCTGCTCCCCCAGCTCTGCAGGGCATCCAAACAAAGACAGGCCACGCAGACATGGTCTACACAGCAACAGTGGGTACAAACACATGTTCAAAGCCTCACGTATGAGAAACACAGGGGTGGACTCAGACCACAGAACCGTAACGCCTACATGAATACTCTGCACAGACACACGTCACTGAAAGGTTGGGGGGGGTACAACACAGCTGAAAACCAAGGTTACCGATGCGCTGGAAGCTTAGGGGTTTTTTCCTACTGTCCTATCTCTGTTTACGAAAGATTTCTTCACAGGTAAAGGACATAAATGTGTTCACAAGAGGAAATGTGGTCATCTATTTAGTAAACATCTCACACTTTTTAGGTAAGCAAAGTTCTATGGTTTAGATATGGTTTGCCCCTGCCAAAACCCACACTGCTGTTCAATTTATAATGTGGTGTTCAGCAGCTCGCACAGGGCAGGGTTAGCCACAGAGAGGACAGCGACACAGTGAGCCTTCCCCTCTGCTCTTCGTCCTTTGCTTTCCGGCATGAACGGAAGCAGTATGTGGCTCTACCAGGTGTGGCTGCCTGACCTTGGACTCTCAAGCCTCCAGAGCCAAGAGCCAAGGTAAAACCTCTTGTCTTTAAACATCACTTGGTCTCAGGTGTTTGGTTATATCCTCAGAATGGACCAAGACAGCAAGTTTATAAAAGGGGGTCCAGCTGGGTGTGGTGGCACATGCCTGTAATCCCAGCACTCAGGAGGCTGTGGCAAGAAGCCTGGGCTACACAGTGAGTTCAAGCCCAGCCTGGACTACATAGCAAGACCCTGTCTCAAAAGAACAAAACAAAACACAAATAATAATAAATAAAAAGGGCTGCATTTGTGATTTCTGACAGGTAGCAGGCTTCAAGGCCCCACTCCTCCCCATTCCCTTTGGACCACATCTGGGTGACATGATGAGAAAGCTGCTCAAATGCTCAGTCCCTGAGCGCTGGCAGACAAACTATGAAAGCGCAGCCTGAATGTGCAAACTTCCACCAGAGCAGCCCTAGCTGCTGTAAACACCCAAAGCCCTCCGGCTCCTCCTGTTTCACTCTGGATTGGGGGATTCCTCTGCTGCTGGCTGTGTGGATCACATACCCTATTTCATATCCATCGGTGGTTGTGCCATTTGTTTCAGGCTTGGTAACATACTGGTGTGAGGGGGACTGCCCAGAGTCCAGCAAGGGAAGTAACACCGCTAACGCATATGTTTTGCTTCGTGGCTTCTCAGAATAACTTGCCAAGGTTAGCTGGGGCACACAGGGGCACACGCCTGTCAATCCCAGCTCTAAGGAGGCTGAGGCTCACTGAGTTCAAGTGCCTAAGTGCATAGTGAGACCTTGTCTCAGGAAAAAAAAAGAAAAAGAAAAAGAAAAAAGAACAACTTGCCAAGGTATGGAGAAGACTAATCTCTAAGAAGTTAGCCAGGGCAAAGTCCAGGAGAGTGAACAGTTTCAGATTCACTGATGAGCATGAAAAGTCAGAGGTGAGGAGCTGTGGATGTAGCTCGGTGGTACAGCAGCTGCCTAGCATGCATGAGACACCGGGCTTGATTTCCAGCACCACACGCATGCTCATGTGCACGCACATGCACAAGCTAGCATCTGCAATACACTAAGTAAATTCTAAGAGTTAAAGTTAAATGATATAAGGGCCGGGGATTTAGCTCAGTGGTTCCAGCCCCTGCCTCTCAAGCTCGAGGTCCCGAATTTGATCCCCGGTACCAAAAAAAAAAAGAATAAAATTAAATGATATAGAAATCTGAAGACTTTACTTACAGTTTTATTTTTTAACAGAAACATTTAAAACGAAAAGTATAGTGTATCTAAAATATACATTAAATACCAACACAGGGAATCTCAGCTCTCACCCAAATGGCACTCCAAGGGCACCCAGAGGAGTTACGAGGACTGTGGGGACCGCCGTGTAAGCCAGGAAGTTTCCAATCTGGCCGACAGCCACTGCCAAGAGAATCACAGGGACACCACTGCAATAAGTGCTCTCTGCTCAGGCACCGACCATAGCGCGAACTGCAAGGCTACTTCCCAGCCCTGGAGCAAGTGAGCCAGGGCATCACCTGCGTGTTTCAGGGTCGAGGTGGCAGGGAGCAAACCCCACAGCTGTAGTGGTCCAGCCGGTCGGGGTGCAGTTCCAGCCCTCCGTGGAAACACCAATGTCACCAACAGTGACAGAAGGTGAGTGCGACACTAATTTCCACTCTTTAACACCCACATCCTTGGGTGTTTTTAAGAATTAATTTAATTTTTAAATACTTTTCAAAAATTTGAGAGTTCTCCCAGATAGGGTGGACTGGCCTTGTAATCCTCCTGCCTCAGCCTCCCAAGGAGCCAGGATTATAGGTGTGTGTCTCCACCGTCAACTTTTTTTTGGTATGGGGATTGAACTCAAGCCCTTACGCTTATGAGGCAGGCGGCGGCACCACTGAGCTAAATCCCTGGCCCACCACACTGGGGATCGAACTCAGGTCCTTGTGCTTGCGAGGCAGAGGCAGGCAGTGGCACCACTGAGCTAAATCCCCGGCCCCTTACTGGTACATTTTAGATATACATAATGATCACTTATCACAGGGAATTTGTCTCTGTGGTATATCTTGTTTCTTTTTTTCCAACAACCCCCCTTCAACTCCCCTTTCCTTCCTTATTTACAAAGGTTTTTTTTTTTCCATTTTTCCCTTCTATTCTCATTTTTACCTTGTTCCTTCTTTCCTTTCCCCTGCCCCCTTCCTTGTTCCCTTTCACATTTGAACATTTGCTTCCCATTTCCCAATATCTATTACATATTTTAGTCCTTATTTCTACTTTCAGTTTCTCACATCAGAGAAACAACACAGTATTTAAACATATGCATCCAATTTATTTCACTTAAGAGTTTGGTCTCTAGAAATGTCTCAAGCTTATCTTTCTTTATGGCAGAGTAGTACTCCATTGTATATAAAAACCGTATCTCCTTTATCCACTCATCAGTTGACAGGCATTTGGGCTCGTTCCAAAATTTAGCTATTACAAACTGCTGCTATAAACATGAATGTGCATATATTGCTGTTAATTCTTTCAGGAAAAGATGTCAAGAAGGGACATATCTCAGTCAAATGAAACCTCTAGTTTTAGTTTTTTGAGGAATCTACACACTGATTTCCACAGTGGTTGCACCAGTCTACACTCCCACCAGCAGTGGAGCAGGGTTCCTCTTTCCCCACAGCCCCGAGAGCATTTGTTGTTAGTTGATTTCTTGATAACAGCCATTCTTTCTGGAGTAAGATGGCATTCCAGTGTTGCTGTACTTTGCATTTCTCGAAATGACCAGTGACGTTGAACATTTTTTAATTTATTTGCTGTTTCTACTTCCAGATCTGAGAAGTGTCTATTCATTTCAGATGTCTATTTTTGTGTTTTGGGGGGGGTTGGTACCAGGGATCGAACTCAGGACCTTGAGCTTGTGAGGCAGGCGCTGGATCAGATGTCTATTTTGGGATTGGGTCTTTAAATTTGGGAGGTCTGATTTTTTTGAGTTTATTATATATTCTAGATAGTAGTCCTTTGTCTAAGGAACAGCTGGCAAACATTTTTTCCCCACACTGTGGGTTGTCTCTTCACTGTTGGTGGTTTTTCTTGCTGTGTAAAAGCTTTTTAATAAGATGAGATCCCAGTTGTCAATTCTTTGTGATATTTCCTGTGCAATCAGCGATTTGTTTATGAAATCTTTGGCTACACCAATGTCTTCAAGAGTTCTACCTATTATATCTTCCAGCAGATTAAGTGTTTTCATTTTAATATTCTGATCTTTGATCCATTTTGATTTTAGTTTAATGCATGGTGAAAGATACGGGTCTGGTTTTAATCTTTAGCAAGTTGAAACCCAATTTTTCCAGCACCATTTATTAAAGAGGCTATCTTTTTTTCAGTGAGGGTGTTTGGCTACTTTGTCAAGATAAGGTGGCTGAGTATGTCTGGAGTTGTGTCTGCATTTTCCAATCTGTTCCATTGATCCTTGGGTCTGTATTTTTTTCCAGTACCATGCTGTTTTTATCACTGTAGCTTTGTAGTGTAATTTCAAGTCAGGGATTGTGATGGCCCCTGCCTTGCCTTTGTTGTCTAGGATTGCCTTTGGTATTCTAGGTCTCTTCTGGTTCCAAGTGAATTTTAGGATTGTTTTCTCTAATTCTGTGAGATATGCTGTTGGAATTTTGATCAAGATTGCATTAAATCTGTATAACAATTTTGGACTATATTGGTTCTTCCTATCCAAGAACAAGAGATATCTTTCCATTTTCTGATATCCTCTTCAATCTTTTTTCCAGAGTACTGTAGTTTTCAATGCAAGTCTTTTACGTCCTTCATTAGATTGATTTCTGGGTATTTCATTTTTTTGGATGCTATTGTGAAGGTGCTGTTTCCCTAATTTCTCTCACTGAGTTTGTTATTCATGTACAGGAATGTGATTGATTTTTTTAGTGTTGACTATCCAGCTACACTACTGAATTTGATTACTAAATCTAGAAGTCTTTTGGTGGAGTTTTGGGGTTTTCTGTGTAGAGTATCATGTCATTTGCAAATAATGGTAATTTATCTTCTTCCTCTCCTATCCTTATTGCTTTCATTTCTTTCTCTTATCTAATTGCTCTGGCAAATGTTTCCGGAACTATGTTGAATAGGACTGGTAACAACTGATATCCTTGTCTTGTTCCTAATTTTGGAGTGAAAGGTTTCAGTTTTTGTCCATTTAGTATGATATTGGCTGTTCATCTGTCATAGATGGCTTTTATCAGATTGAGATAAAGACATTCTATTTCAATTTTTGTAGAGTTTTTATCATGAATGTGTGTGGACCTTGTCAAAGGCTTTTTTTGCGTCTATTTTTTTTTTTTTGGGTACCAGGGATGGAACTCGGGTCCTTCAGCTTGTGAGGCAGGTGGCGGAACCACTGAGCTAAATCCCCGGCCCTCTGCATCTACTTTTTATTTTTTATGTTTTTGGTACTGGGGATCGAACTTAGGACTTTGCGCTTATGAGGCAGACGCTGGAACCACTGAGCTAAATCCCTGGCCCATCTATTGAGATGATCATATAGTGTTTGTCCTTGGCTGTGCTAATATAATGTATTACTTTTATTTATTTGCATATGTTGAACCATCCCTGGATCCCTGGGATGAATCCAACTTGGTCACTGTGTATAACCTTCTTGATGATTTGCTGCATTCTGTTTGCCAGTATCTTATTGAGGATTTTTGCATCCATGTTCATTAAGGAGATTAGCCTTTAGCTTTTTTTATTGGATCCTTTTCTGGTTTTGATATCAAGTTAATGCTTGCTTCCAGGAATGAACTTGGGAGTATTCCTTCACTTTCAAATTCACTGAAGAGTTTGAGAAGTAGCAACATTAGATCTTGTCTAAGTTTGTTGTAGAATTCAGCAGTGAATCTGTCAGGGCCTGGGCTTTTCTTTGTTGGTAGGTTTTAAATTATTTTTTAAAATTATATCTTCAATTTCATTGACTGATACTGGTTTATTTAGCATTTTTATATCTTCTTGATTTAGTTTTGCTAATTCATATGCATCTAGGGATCTGTCCATTTCTTCCGTGTTTTCCACCTTATTAGAGTACAGGTTCTCAAAGTAGGTACTGATGATGTGGATTTTTGCAGGATCTGTCGTTATTTCACCCTTTTCATTCCCAATTGAATGGATTTGAGTCTTTCCTTTTTTATAAAAAGTTGGATAAGGGTTTGCCAATTTTATTTAATCTTTCAAAGAACCAACTCTTCAATTCATTGATTCTTTGCATTTTTGTCTGTCTCCACTGCATTAATTTCTGCTGTGATCTTTATAATTTCCTCCCTCACATGACCTTTGGGCTTGACTTGCTCTTCCTCTTCTAGAAGCTTGAGGTTCAGCATTAGTTTGTTTACTTGAACTTGCTCTGTATTCCTGATACGGGTATTCACCGATATAAATTTCCCTCATAGGACTGCTTTCATTGCATCCCATAAGTTCTGGTACATTTAATTGTAGTAATTCTGGTATCATTTAATTGTAGATACTTTAACCTCTGAACTTGTATTTGAGTTGATACAAGAAACTCTCCTTTGTTAAACAGATGGTGCTGAGTGAAATGAGGCATCTAACTCAGGGAATTTCACTGAGGTCACCCACAGGCTGCAGTGGAGCAGGTGGGAGCTGCTCTGATGTGTTCTGGCCAGGGCAGGGCCCTGGGCTCAACTCAGGACCAGCTTCGAGAAGCAGGAGCCTCTGTGCTCCTCCCCAGAGGTCACTGCATGCCCTTCCCTCCACTCCCTTCCTACTGAAGGACATTCCCTGGGGAAGGAGAGGACTGGGGTGACATCCCTCCAAGCATCAGCACCACACTCACCCTGCTCTTTCACCCTGCCCCATGAACAACTGACCAGGCCTTCCCAACACACACTTACTTGCAATGGTGCCAGCCCACCATACAATGTCTGTTAAATAGGAGGTACCTGTAAAAGAATGAGAAAAATGCCATGTAAGTAGGTTCACAAGAAAGAGGTTTACAAGCTGCATATTTAGAACAGAAATCTTCACTTGAGAACTAAAATTGAAAACAATGAATGTCAGACTGTTTATTCACCCTATAAATAATCTTCAGTCTATATATAGCAGGATGAGAAACCACTAAAAACAGTAAAGATATTTTTAAAACTAACACTGGCTGGCCCAAGGAAATAAACAAAAGCTTTATAATGGTTTTCTTTGGCATGATTAAGCCACTACACTCAAGTATTCTGTGGAATGGAGATTTTTTTTTTTTGGATTGCTCTCCAAGGAGATGTCCAAAGTCCAACATTCTCATGCATTCACTGTAAGCCATTTATATGATAATTTTACTACCATAGGGCTCAAACACTTCCTGCTTAAACAGGTTACTCAACTTTCCTAATTTAGAATCTTTCAGTATGGCTCTTCCTTCAGCTTTTTGGGCACCAGATCCTCCCCTGATCTTCAATGTCCTGGCATTTCAAACCTTACTTCCCTTATAGTCTCTCCAATACCGCAAGCAGGCGGGCAGAAGGTGAGGAGCTGCCTGGCCTCCTGTCCTGAGGGACAGATGCATACAGGAAGAGCACCTCCCACCCTCAAGACCTGTTTGTCTTTCTTCAGGTTCTGGAGCTGTTTCTATTGCAGACTAAAGTACCCAATTCTAATAGGATGTTTATTTCTCGGTAGTAAAATCACAGACTTTGGCATAAGGAACATAGGAAGCCTGCCTACTTAATGTGGGAGCAGAGCTATAGGTTTTACAGTAAGTACTTTAAAAATGATTTTAAAAAATAATACAACAAGTAGCAAGGAGTAATAGAACTGAGTGCTACTCAGGAGGCGGAGTCAGGAAGATGGTTTGAGTCTAGGAGTTTGGGGCCAGCCTAAGCAACATTAAACACCATATCTCAAAAACAACAACAGGGCCGGGGATTTAGCTCAGTGGTTTCACTGCCTGCTGCACAAGCAGAAGGACTCTAGTTCAATCCCCGGTACAAAACAACAACAATAACAACAAACAAACAAACAAAAAACAGAAAAGAAAGAAAAGGAAAAAAAGTAGCCAGGTATGGTGGTGCATACCTATAATTCTAACATTCTGGGAGGCTGAGGTAAGATTGCATTTCCAGCCCAGCCTAGCAACTTAGTGGGGCCCTATCTCAAAATTAAAAAAAAAAAAAATTAAAAAGGACTGGCACTTCCAGGAAGATGGTGGAGCCATAAACAGCAGCAAATCAGCCTCTCTGAGATTCGGAATCCAGATACCAGGATATAATAACTTGGGGAAGAAAAGGAGGAGGTGGATCCCTGGGACCCAGGATCTGACGGGAGAACTGAAGTGAATAGGAAAAAGGAAGAGACAGATCTAAATGCAGAAAAAGGAGGTGGCAAACTGCACTTTCTCCCTGGCTCCTGGCTCAAGGTGTGAAAGGAGGCTCGGATCTACAGAGACACAGTGAGGCCAGGTGGACTCTAGAGGCCTCCATGGAGAAACACAACAGTGGAACAGAGTACTGGATGCCGTAAGCTACAATAGCTTGTGAGTGGCTCCAGTTCGAGCATTCCTAGAAGAGGGAACCTGGCCAGATACCATTTTCGGGAGGGGCCAACTGAACACTGGACTTGAAGCAGCCTTGAGTGGCTTTATGTTAGGGCTCCCAGTCACTAAGTGAGGCTCAACCACAGGACACATGCAAGGTGAGGGAGCTCAGACCATGATAACAAGAGACACCCAGTGTTGGAGGCTGAACAACTCAGGCCCTAACCGTAGAACCAGAACCCAGGATCAGCCTGAATTTCTGTGGAGTTGAAAGCACAAAATCAGCACCTGCCCCGCGGCAGGCTTGCTGGGATCATCCAGCATGGATCTGGGCTCTGTCTGCCTCCTTTGCCTAGCAGTGACAAAGACACGCCCTAAATTGGGCACTACCACAAAACTGTAGTCCCCAGAAGATAGCCACAGGCTTGAAATCATAGAGAAATCTCTTATCTTTGTTTTTTTTCTTTACTCTTGATTGGTTGCTTATTTTTTTTCCCCATTAAATTTACTGGTACATTTTAGGTATAAAATACAGTTACATTCATCATTGGAATCTAGTACCTTTACATGAGTCTCTTGGTTCTTATTTTTTTTCCCCTTCCCCTGCCCTCCCTTCACCCCCTCCACCCTTCCCTATTT